GTTTGGGGAGTCTTTTGATGAAGGGATGGGAAATCCCCTCTGCAGAGGGATGGCAGAGGGTCCAAAGCAAAGCTTGAGATTTTTAGCTCCCACTGAGATGGGAGCAACTTCTGAGTGACCTGTCAGGTTCTCATTCAGGAGGCCAAACTCCAGGGGAGAAAGCCTGAGCTGGCTTATCTATCTACAGAGCCAGAGGTGGTTTAGCTCCTCATCCTTTGGTGGTAGGAGGTGAAAGCTGCCTCCTAAGTGGGGATTCTGCAAAAGGGATGTGGCTCCCTAATAGGAAGGAGTGAGCAGTTCCTTGCCCTCCTAAGGTAACAATGATAGTAATAGTGAAGAGGAGGACAAAAGAGAAGGAAGGAGGATTCCACAAAAGAAAACAAAACAAAACAAAACAAAAAAAGCATCACCAACAACAACAACAAAAAATCTGCTCAGGTGCTCAGTGAGGCTCTGGAACTAGATTGCCCACACTCAGATCCTGCATCTTCCACTTATGAGCTGGTGGACATTTTCTTGTAACCTCAGCTTACTCATCTCTGAAATAGGGATAAAAATATTCCCTCTCTTTGAGGGTTGTTGCAATTAAATGTTTAGGTACTACAAGTTGACTCTGTTGTTTCCTTTCAGGCTATTTTCTGGGATATCCCGGTCTGACTGGTCATAATTTTGCTTGATTCCTTAGGAATTTGGCTCAGGAGCTGACCCTAGAATACTTTGAGGGCTTGCCTTGTAAATAAATGTCTGCAGAGGGAACAAGGTGGTGGCCAGAGTTTTCTAGCATCCAGTTCTTGTTTACTCTGGGTAATCAGACTTAACTTTTCTTCTGGTGTTTTCCCTTTTCAGTTCGCACTAGAGCCTGCCAGTGCTTGGTGCACGTTTTAATTTCCAATGGGGATATTAAACACAGTTAACTTGTTTCCTCAGATAACTTGCTTTCCATTTTAGCTTTTAACTGACATTATTTCAATTCTGTTCCCATCCCAGCTTTTAACTAAGGTTGTTTCAATTCTATTATTGAAGTAAATGAAAATCATTTACCAACCTTCTGGTTGAGTTAGCTTAATTCTTTTCACATCCCACCTGCCTTTGCCTTCTGTAACTTCTCCCGCTCTCCGGCTCCTCCATGCTTGTTCTCTGCTAAGAGTGAAGGGATTGTGTGTCTTTAGGAGTCTCATAGGATTGCAGTCCTGGCTAGACACTGAAGCGCCCTCCTATGTCATCCCCTTTTTCATCCTGACATCTTGGGTAGAACGGGTTACCAACTGCTGCAATTCAATGCCCTGTATCGTTCGTGGGAAGGAGCCGTGATCCAACCTCTGCAACTAGAAGGTCAAGCAGAACTTGGTAATCTGCTGGTCTCATGACCAGGTCTTTGGGAGACGGCAAGTTGCCTCAGTGTGATTCTCAATGATTTCTATGCACATAAATAAGCTTTGTGAGTTTGGAAAGAATCTCTCATCTTTTGGCAGCAATGAAATGAATCATCATGGTTTAGTTTCATTTTCTCTAATGGTGACTTGCCCTTTGTTAACCTGACCTCTTGGCAAGGCTTTATTTATTTAAGAAATTCTTTCTTTTCTGGATCTTTTTCGTTGTGCTATTATTGTGGAGCTTGTGGAGATTGCAAAATGGGCTACTTATGTAAAACTGGACAAAAATCCATAAAAGTATCTTTAACCAAATTGTTCATTCCACTTCTGCTGTTTCCTAAGTCATAGCACCTGATTGTTTTCCTAATAGGTGCCTCTGTTGTAATATTCTTATTTCCTTTCCTATGTTTTATGTACATATTGATGTTATTTTCCCCTTTAAAACAGGTGGTAGTATTTTCTATTTGCACAATGTTTTGCCTACCTTTTCATTACCTTTTCATTAACAATCTGTCTTGGAGAAGTTTACATGTATTGTTAAAGAAATGGCAAATTCATTTTCAGAGTTGCCCAATATTCCATCATTGGTGGTTACATATTCTCTATGAGTATTCTCTGTAAATGGAGACTTAAGCTTTTGGTTTTTTTTTTTAAGATTTATTTATTTTTATTAGAAAGTCAGATAGAGAGGAGGAGAGGCAGAGAGGAAGATCTTCCATCCGATGATTCACTCCCCAAGTGAGTGCATCGGCCACAACAGTGCTGCGCCAATCCGAAGCCGGGAACCAGGAAATTCTTCCAGGTCTCCCACGTGGGTGCAGGGTCCCAAAGCTTTGGGCCACCCTAGAGTGCTTTCCCAGGCCACCAGCAGGGAGCTGGAAGGGAAGTGGAGCTGCCGGGATTAGAACCAGCTCCCATATGGGATCCCAGCACGTTCAAGGTGAGGACTTTAGCCACTAGGCCACACTGCCGGGCCCGAGACTTAAGCTTCTTGAAGGTGTTTGAGGGAATGGGGTCTAGATGAAAATAGACAAGTAGAATGCATACTAACTGAAGGCCACTTGCGCAGACTGAGCATGGTTTTTGGATGGTCATCAGAAACTTGTCTATAAAATGATAACATTGTAATGGTCTTTAATGGCACATTCAGCTTTGCTGTGTTCTTTGGAAATTGTTGAAGAATTAATAAGAATTGTAAACTTTTTAATGGGAAATTTTGTAAGCGATTGGGCCTTTACTCTTGGAAAATAAAGAGTTTCTCATAAATAATTATTCCAAGTCTCAGTAGATGCATATAGATTCATAAGGTTGCTGAAATAAAGAACTGGAGCTTGAAATGTTTAGGAGTCAGGAAAACTCAGTGGTAAATAACCCACTTTCCCATTCGTTTTTTTTTTAAGACTTATTTATTTTTATTGGAAAGGCAAGTATACAGAGAGAAGATGGAGAGAGAAAGATCCTCGGATTTCTGGTTCACTCCTCAAGTGGCCACAACAGCCAGAGCTAAGCTAATCTGAAGCTGGGAGCCAGGAATTTCTTCCAGGTCTCCCACGCAGTTGCAGGGTCCCAAGGCTTAGGGCTGTCCTCTACTGCTTTTCCCTGTCGCAGACAGGGAACTGGAAGGGAAATGGAGCATCCAGGACACAAATGGGATTCTGCCTATATGGGATTCTGGTGCGTGCAAGCCAGAATCCAACAGGTTTCTGCACCAGGCCCTCCCATTAGTGTTAAATAATAGATGTCTTAATGGGCTGGATTTGGGGTGGGAAGAAGATAGCAAACACTTTCTTTAGGAAAAAAAGTGTTTGACCCATCTTAGCTCATAAATATTTCTTTAATTGAATGTGTGATTCAAGATTTTAAAGGATGTGGTGTTTGACAGAAAATTGGAAGATGAAAGTCATAATTTAGGAAGTAATAAGCTGTAAAGCTCATTTTGTTCCTTCTTTTGAAGTACTGTTTTTTAATGACCTTTAAAAATCTTATTTGAGGCTAAATATAAATCTAGAAATTCAACTGTGTTTAGGAGATCAATTCAACCTGTTAGCGGAATCTCTGAGAAGCCAACAGATAATTGTCACTAAGTCTGAAGAGGAGATGACCCGATATGAAAGGAAGCAGTTTTTCATATGTGCCAAGAGCCCCATCTGTATTCATCAAGATGTAGGTGTGTCACTCAGTTAGGAGTTGACACTGTTGAACTAACTTTTCATGAAATCTGCTCTATGTTAAGAAGTACAATGGGCCTGGCATAGTAGCATAGTGGCTAAGGTCTTCACCTTGCACTGTGGTATGGGCAATGGTTCGTGTCCAGGTGGCCCCACTTCCCATCCAGCTCCCTGCTTGTGGCCTGGGAAAGCAGTAGAAGATAGCCCAAAGCCTTGGGACCCTGCACCCATGTGGGAGACCCAGAAGAAGCTCCTGGCTCTGGCTTTGGAGCAGCTCAGCTCCAGCTGTTGTGGCCACTTGGGGAGTGAATCATTGGATGATATTCTTCCTTTTCGTTTCTTTTCCTCTCCTCTCTGTATATCTATTTTTTCAACAAAAACAAATAAATCTTTTTGGAAAAAGTGAGAAATAGGGAGGCAGTGAAGCAACGTTGGTTGTAGGACCATTCTGTTTAGTTGTTGGTACTTTGCGTCAGGAAGGGAGGTTAGGATTCAGACTGTATCAGATGTTATGTGATGAACTGAATGCATTAGAGGGTCTACTGTGTTAATTTAATGCTGGTTCCCGGTGAGGAAGACCAAGCAAAACAGGAACGAGCGGTCAGAGTCATTATCTCTTATTAGAGCTCTTATCTTGACTCTTGATTCAGGGATGTTGTCTCTGGAAGTGTTTTGTCCTAAGAAGTAAGCATTTGGTGTAGAATCTTGTTGGAGCCTATTTGCTGATCTTCATGTTTTTATAATCACCAATTTGTCCATTTTTTTTTTTTATGTCTCCAAAATCCTCAGCTGTGATGCTGGTTTACTATAAGGCATTAATAGTCATGTTTACAAAAGAATGTGAGAGGCAGACTCCACTAAAAACAAGATTTACCAATGTTAATGGTGTGTGTGTGTGTGTGTGTGTGTGTGTGTGAGAATCGATCAAAGTCTGCATGCCACAAACTGAATCCAAAATAAGTGACTCTGCTCAAGCTGATGAGTCACGGAGTTCCTTAGAGGATTGCCTGATCTCCTTTCTCCACTGCGTGTAACTGTCTACCACTTTGACTAGAGGCTGTTAGCCATAACGTTGATTTAGTTCAGGGTCGATCTTTGGTGTGCTTGGTCATGTCAGTTGCTTGTGCCTTCCACTCCAGGTTCTGTTATGTATCATCAGAGCTGCTCCGCGGATGGCGACTGTCTTCCCTTTACGGCATATCTGCTCAGGATTTGTCTCCGCCCCCATTTGCAGAGGAGAATCCATACTGGTTTTGAATGTTCTTGTATTCACACTTCATATTTTGAGTACTTGTTTCTGTTACAGACTGCAGATAAATTTGATGTCTTACTTTCTATGCTACTATTTCCTGTTTTTTTCCTAATGTTTCAGAAGGTATTTTTAAAATGTGAGGGTGGCTGTTTTGCTTGTTTTCTGTTTCTGTGTTTGTATCCATGACCGTGTCTCTTTGCAATGCAGGTCTGCAGACTCCTGTTCCAGAGGTCATTGTTGATGTAGACTCCATGGACATCTTCCCAGTGGGCTGGTGTGAAGCAAATGCTTACCCCTTGACTACGCCACATAAGACAGTCTGTAAGTGATTAGAGGCAGCTGTATTATTTTTTCCATCAAAGGTTTAAACAAATTATAGCAAAATTAAAAAAGAAAAGGTTGTGGAGTTTTCCATAGGACAGCGTTCCCTTTGTTGTCTCGGTTACCCTTTAAATGTGTAATGTGTTTCCTAGGCTGACAAAGGCAGCCACACCTAGGAGGCATTGGCGGTCACAGAGAAGCCGCAGAGAGACAGATGGAGTCCTAACCTTGGATATTTTTATATAGCCCATTATCTTGAAGGGAATGCACTTAGGTTATAAATTGTATTTTCTTCCTATTAATTCTTAGAACTAATTTTTCTTGTGAGGCTTTCCCTAGAGTTCAAAGAATCGTAATTGGTCCCAACAGTCTATTAAACTTACAAGCATTTTACCTACTCTTAGTACTAACTAATTGGCGAGATTTCAGCTGACGCTTAAGAAACTTCACATCTTTTTGATCCAGAAAATACCACACAAAACCAAAATTGAAAGTTAAATAATCCAGTACACTCACATCATAAGTTTAAATGATACAACATGCTTAGTACATTACAGATTGTTATCATGAAGTTGTACATTTGTTATTTCGTTCTAATGTCCATCGAAATATTATTTTAAATTGTGAATATTTGAAGTCAGTAGCGTGGCACAGTGAATTAAACCACAGCCTGTGATGCCAGCATCCTGTATGAGCTCAGAATCAAGTGCCAGCTATTTCACTTCTGATACAGCTCCCTGTTAATAGTCTTGAAAAAGCAGCAGAAGATGGCATGCGTGTTTGAGCACCTAGCACCCACTTGGAAGACCAAGATGGAGCTCCAAGCTCCTGCCTTTGGCCTGACCCAGCCCCAGCCATTGCTGCCATTTGGAGAGTAAACCAGCAGATGGAAGAGTCCTCTGTTTCTCCTCTCTATCTCTAACTTTTCTTCTCAAATAAATAAAGAACTTTTTTTAAAAGATTGTGAGTACACAATGGGTTTTCACTAATTGTTTAAGACTGTGTTTTTAATACTCTTTGGAATTTATGGTCCAGCTTTGCTTCTTCACTGCAGCCTGTTCTGTGGCACACTTCTGAGGATTCCCAGAGCACGGTTATAAACCAAGTTTCATCGCTCTTGGCTGCACGTTCCCAAAGTCAAACATTTCAAAGCATTGCCCACTTGGTGTTCACTAAGACTGGGATAGGACATGATGGGCATGAAATGGAGTTTAAGTCCTGGAGAGGAGGATTATAGAAAAGCATTTTTTTTCTCCCTGATAATATCCTATGCAATACACCTGACCCAGTTACAGGAATGTCTTCTCATTTTAACGGATTCTTACAAATTTGTGCATAGAATGTTAATTGTGATATGAGGAACATACCCTTTTCCCCAGTGCTGCATTTTCTTGTCTCTCCTAGCTAGCATGCCCAGCACTCCTATCCACGACCCTCTTCATCCTTCTTGTCCCTCTCATCGGTCCTGCAGTCCTGTATCCTCTTCCTCCCTTGTTCACGTGGATCTGAGAGAGTGCAAGTGCTTTTGGCTTTCCTAGTGCCAAAGCACATATGGGTAAGGGTGAATGCAGTAATCTTTCTCCTATTATTGCTTATTTTTTAAACACCCATTTAGTATTTACTTATTTATTTAGAATAGAGAGGAAAAAGACGAGGCAGATGGACAGTCAGACAGATGGACAGAGATTTCCCACTAGCTGGTTCATTCTCCAGTTGCCCACACCAGCCACAGCTGAACCAGGCAGGGAGCCTGGAACTCAATCTGGGACTCCCACCCAGATGTCAGGTGTCAGGACCCAAGTACTGTTAACCCCAGTGTGTGCAGCAGCAGGTGCTGGAATCCCAAGCAGAGCTGAGACTCAGTCTCAGATTCTCTGCAACAGGATACCCAAGGGATATATCTCAGTCACCGTGCCAAACACCCACCTGTGATGTTTGCTCTTTATCTTGCATTTTGCTTCTAGGTCTGTTGTGCTTGGCTCCCTACAGGATATCCAGTAGCCAGACCATATCACCCTTAGCAATAAAGACTGAGTTAAACAACATTGTCTATAACCCTTTTTCATCTTGAGAACAGTAAAGTTTTTACTTCCTTATAGGTATAGCTAGAATTAAATAACACATAAAGCTCAGAGTATTGGGAACTTTGTTGATTCTCTTAATTATTCTTGTAAGCATTTCCTGTCTGTACATACTGCTTAAAAGAGACTGTGACTCTTCTCCTGCCAAACTGTTAACACTTTGGAAGTTTGTACTTATGTAGGAAGATGTAGGTTTATCTGGGCCAATTTTAAAAGGTGCCAAATGCTCTGGTGTTTTTTTTTTTTTTAAAAGTTGATCCTGGTCAATTATAACCTAGAATATTCTAATTCAAAAAATCATTGCCTGTTGGATTATTTTAGGCCATAGTTACTAGTTACCAAATCTCCTTTCAGTTCAGTGCAAGCTTGTGATATACTTTGGGAGTGTGATGTTATGGTAAAATTTTTATCCTATGACAGTTTCTATGGTGGAAAAGAAAATCACCCTGGATAACTGCACATGCTACAGTTTGCCTTAATGTGTGCCTTCATTCCAGGTACAGCATGTATGCTTCTTCTTTGTTAAAACACATTTTAAGATAAAGTAGCCAGAATAGTGATAAGATTAAGGGTGCTAAATTCTATTCAGATCTTCTGTTTGATGGCTCACCTTGTTTTCTATTCTAGAAGAAATTAATATGAAATGGGTACTGAGTAAAACAACTTCAGTGTTTTAAATTGTTCCTATTCAACAGGTGCATTTTTGTACTAAACCTGCTTTTAAAAAATGTATCTGCCCCATGGACTAACAAAGCTAATTTCTCCCTCTCCTTTTCTTTTTCTCTTTGCCCACTATGCAGCACAAAAGAAGAGAAAGATTGCTGTTGTCCAACCAGAAAAACAGTACGTTTTTTTTTCTCTTTTTCTCAAAGGTATCTGACAAATTATAGAATGACTCTATGAAGGGTGAGAAGCATGACATTTTTATTAGGGGGTTAGCTGACAATTAGCTTAGTAATAAAGGTGACAGTAAAATACAGCTAATGTTATTTTTTGTGTACCTGTGAGGTGGAAGCTATCTTGCCTGCTGCCCAGGGGATTCTGCAGTTTAGACTGTCATTTCTCTAATAGCCCAAACTCAAATATCGGTGGTAGTGGCTAAGATGTTATTGCCCATGCACTTCGTGTGGCCAGTATAGTTCAGATGTGCAGTGCCTACCTGCCCCTAGAGGGGGCATTGTGTTTCATCTGCCTCTCTTACCATGCTTGGGCCTGTGAGATGGAAGACATCCGCCAAAACCCAGCCCTGCCATTCTCCAGTGCTTAAGCCCTCTTCATCTCAATGCCCTTACTGGAAGAATATTTGCTTCTAAGTGATTTTTGTGATGATTAATTTAGATTAGATTATGCAGTAAAGAAAACCCATGTGGTCCCCATCCTGCATTTCTATTGTAAGGGAAAAAGCCAGTGTTGGAACAGAGTGTGTACATGAAGGTGTGTGTTTTTCGACAAGTTGGAACTTCCAGTAGCATCTTCATAGATTGAAAGATGCTTAAAAGAGACTAAAATATACCTTCCGTGTCAAGTGATTCTGTTTTCTTAATCAACAAACTTATATTGATGGAAAAGGAATGGAAAACCACATTTCTGATGTTTTCAGGTTTGGATTTTAAGTGGAATTGAACAGTCCTTGTTTGCAGTTTGAGTATTTGAGTGGGCATGATTGTTTTGTGGATAATTTCTGTGCATTCATTTCTAAATGTAGTATATCAGGTTAATAAACTGACTGCCTTGCCCTGGCATCACACTGAAGTAGAAAATTAACTATAGACTCATGAGAGTAGTCACTTTTACATCCACTATCTGAGGATTAACAGTTCTCACCGTTTCTGCTTCCCACCAGTCACCAGCTTGCTGGTCTCTTCCCCCAAATTCAGCAAGTCTGAGAATCTGCATTTGTGACAAGTTCCCTGTTTTAACTCTTGAGGGATCATAATTAAGAACTGTTTCTATAGCTGAACTCCCCTGAAATTTCTTGGAGTCACTCAATTTGAGTTTATCCAACCTTCTGGTTATGTGGTTTCTGGGCAGCCACAGATTCCATCTATGGAAAAACCCAAGTTATCTTTGTGTCCACAAAGACCACATTCTAACTGTAATTTTTCAGCAACTTTTTAAAAAATTCAACTAGAACAGATTTCTGTCCTGGAATAAGCCTACTTCACATTTTAGGATTCAAAATTCATTTGTTTTAAGATCTTTTTAGTATAGCCATGACCCACAGAAGCACAAGGACCAGAAATCGAAGGTTAGTAGAAAATGGTTTTCAATTAGCCACTGAAGTGAAAAAGTGCGACTTTAAGTGTAAGGTAATGTTTCTGCACGTCTGGAATATAATGGACGGTGTATTTCAATTCTCTGACAAGCGAGCAGCTCAGCATTGCCCACAGCCATTGAACAGTGATGCCTACGGTGTTCTATGGGCGCTCTTGGGTCATCCCAAGTGAGTGAGAGTCATTTCCCTGATGTAATTGTTTCTTAGCTGGTCTTATTGCTGGTACTTGTATCCACAAATGCTGTCTTATGATGCTCTTACCTTAGATTTCTGAAATGGTCGCTTTGAATGATAAGCAGACTTTGGGAAGTGGTCGTTTTGGTTATAGTGTGTGACCTTTGATAGTTTTGTTTTCTCTGTTGACAGATTACCATCCGCAGTGCCTGTTGAGAAAATACCTCATGACCTGTGTTTATTCCCTCACCTGGACACTACAGGTAAATGAGTTCTTTTGTCTTTTTCTAACTTGTATCTCTCTCTGTGTGTGTACACATTATTTTTAGTTCATTCTGAGATTATCATGTAATTGAGCACAATCTCCTTTGCTATACATCAATAAATATCTACATCTTAAAATTAGTTTTAAGCTAAAATTTCTGAGCTTTTCCCCTCTGTGTCTTAGCCAATATCTTTAAATAGTTCTGCTGGTCTGTAGGAAAAAGGGTGCTGTTGCTTTGAGATTCCAAGCCATATTAGGTCTGTGTATCATGAGATACCATGTGGGAAAGAATTGGAAATATCATCACTAGGTTTTAAAAAAGATATTTTGCCATGTTAATGCCAAGTCCACTTCTGTTTTTACATTAGTGATTAATACCTACATCCCTACTGGTTTTTTACTTGCTCCTTAAAATCCCTCTGAATTTGAATAGCTAGTTATGAACTGTTTGTTTCTTAATGAGTACAAGCTTGTCTTTTACAACCTTTGAAAATACAGTTATGAGTAGACCACTGACTCTGACAACACATGCTTATGCATTAACTAGTACTTAAGAATTTTATTTTCTAAGGCAAAAAAAAAAGAAAAACCTGTCTTGAATTCTAGAAATAAAAGCAATGGGAGGCTCCTGTCAGTTGCAAATTTTTGGTAGTAGAAAAAGCACCTTTATGCATTGACTTGGGTAAATTTTTCTTTTTTGCTAAAGAAATGCACAAAGTAATCCTACCAAGAGAATTTTCATGTAAATTATTTTGCCTGTTGTATCAAAGTGAAACTTTCAGAATGGTTTCAGCTACCCTTTGTAGCGTGCCATTGCTATTTTGCTCCTTTTCTCTTGCAGCTGTTGGTTCTTTGAAGTCCTTATGAGAATAAAGCCTTCCTAGACTGTTAAATTAATAACCATATTTATACAGAAATAAAATACTGGTGGTGTATTTTAGCTTGGAGTAGGTGCTAGCTGGGAGTAGTCATTTTGGGAATGACTCCTTAGCCAAAAGTGAAACCTCATTCTGTTTATAGATATTAGGAAATTTCAGCGTGAAAACCTGTCATTTAATTTACCCATGATAGCTTGAGATACAGCTAGAAGAACAATTTCCTCTGTTCACTTTCTAAGTTGAAAGAAAACTAAGGGCAATGCAAATTTAAGGCATGGTGAGGTACATTTTACCTTCACCAGATTGGTGAAATAGAGATGTCTGGCAGTACCTACTGTTGGCTGTGGGGTAGTGGAGGTGACAGCTCGGTGTTGGTGCAGTTGTCGATGGGGATAGGTGCTGAGGAAACAGCTCAGCCATGACTGGTAAAGCTGAAGAGACTAAACCTATGGCCAAGCAGCTCCATTTCTGTTGTACGCTTGAACAAATCTCATGCCTGCGTGTGGCAGATCTTTGTAGCCATACTCCTTAGAGCACTGCACGCGATTCCAATAAAGTAGAACCAACCAAATATCCACCAGTGAGAGAATAGGTAACTAAAGTGTGTTCCATTAATTCAAAGGAGTAATACTCATAAAATAAAAATACACCAATGTTCTGGATGTATATTTACCAACTTGGGTGTGTGTCAGAAATTTCATGTTGATCAAATTAACAAAATGTTGTAGAAAACTGAGTTTAGACTATTTTTTAACTATCATGTGTTGTTCACCTGTATTTATAACATATATATGGGGAGTGGGGTTATAAAGTTGCACGGGAGTGACAAACACCAGATTCAGGGAAGCTGTTTCCTTGAAGAGGAGAGATGGAAAAAGGAAGCCACTGGAGCATGTGGGCAGCTTGCCTGGAGGTTCAGTGTTTCTGTTTCAAGGTGCACTATTGCCAGTGTCTTGAACATGGTGTGATTTGCAGAATGGCCTGCATATTTGGAGAAAAATAATAAATAAAAGTTCTAAAGTATTATGATGGATATAAAATATCCTGATATTAAGATCCAATGCACCTTCCCCCAAAGAAGGAAATCCTGTCTGCCTCTCCATCTCTGTCACAATTTGGAGTCCAAGCAAGACTTCCCTATCTGAGGCTCAGCAACACTGGCCTCCACAGTTGCTATGAACATCAGTCAAGTCATCTGTACCTCCCAGAGGTAGTTTTGCTGATGAAGTGAAATAAAGCACGCATGTGGGTTGTGGGAGTTGTGACCTTAAGTGTTTGCTGTTGGCGCTTTGCCTGCAGGAACCGTGAATGGGAAGTACTGCTGTCCTCAGCTCTTCATCAACCACAGGTGTTTCTCAGGCCCTTACCTGAACAAAGGAAGGATCGCAGAGCTACCTCAGTCTGTGGGACCGGGCAAATGTGTGCTGGTTCTTAAAGAGGTAAGACGGCTTCCCAGTTGCTATCTGAAGCAGCATGTGTAAACACAGTTTCCAAAGGAGATGGGAGACATGTGCATCCATTCAACACATGGTTCCCAAGCTCCCTCTTTTATGGAATCCTGGGACTGGAAGTAGAGGTGTCAAGATGGAAATCTGCTACTTGGGTCTATGACTGACCTACACATCCCAGCGCAAAGGGGGAACCTGTTGTCCTAGATGGGATAGAAATGCTTTGGGAAGGCAGAGGAGTGACTGTGGGGCGACAGCTTAGAGTTCAGGAAGTCAGATTTTCCCAAAGAGGGGAGCAGCCCAGAAGTGGAATGGGGACCTGAGGAAGCAGTGTAGGGTGCTGTTGAGAACAGGTGTTCCTGGGCCAGATTGGGGGCAGCACCCTGTTTTCTCTCAGGCCTTCCTAATCCTCATTTGTGGGTGGCAGTGGGCAGTATTCTCCAAGCAGCACCCATGAAGTTCCTGCCTGGGTTTCTCGGAGAAGCCTAAGGCACATGAATCCCTTGCAGAGGATTTATCATTCCTGCCTGCTGGGGCACCGTTGCAGGAGTGGTGAATCCTGAAGATGCTAATGTAGGCCTTTGTCTCTGTTGCTTTTATGTAACTGAACCTCAGAAGGTCCTTGGAGACAGACTAGAATTTGGGAACAGTTTCTGAATTGTTCTTGGAACTCTTCTCTTGCTATTTCTTTTACACACAGCAGTGAGGTTCTTTCTCGTGAGATAGAAGACACCAGATAGATCTTCTTTATTGCTACTGTACGATGATGAATGTGTTTTTAATTCTGTGGGCACTACACTCCATGTATCCAAGGAATGAGTGTGTGTTGGGCCTGTTTGAGGAGCCAAGTACTGACTAAGTCCTTGGATCAGAAAATAAACAGTCTGGCTTCTGCTTGCTTGAGCTTAACATTTGTGTTGGGGTGATAGATGAATCCAAAGTTCAATGTCCAGTGTCCTAACAGAAGCTTGGAGTGGAGGGAAGGAAGTGCAAATATATGGTAAGTGATCTGAACTGGCTTAGGCAAAGCGAGTGGAGCTGACTGCACAGCCTGTGGTGGTCACACACAGGTGGGCAATCAATATGTATTTTGAAAAGGACAGTGGTTATGTAGGTATAGCTGGAGCATAGAATTGGAGCTGCAAGTAAATAGTGGGTTCACAGGGGTATGCTGTATTTTGGAAAGAAAAGTAGAAAGGAATTCAGCCTGCCTGGTGCTTCAGTAGACTCCGTCCAATGCTGCCTTCTGAACCACTCGCACTTAGAGTTCTGCTTGATAGGGAGCACTTAAGAGCAGCACAAGGCTTAAACTTGTCCCTCAACATAAGAATTTCTGAGTGGGTTCAGATGGCATATTACTCAAAGAGGTCACAAAATAATAATGGCAGAGGATGTCTCCTTTTTGTAGGCCATTAGGATATTAGTAAACATTTTCCTGCATTCAGCAGGGAAATGTCTGCTTTTAAAGAGAGAAACTTGAATGGACTGACTAGGCCAGGGATCTTATGTCTTACTCAGAAGCAGTTACCACAGAGAATGTTCACAGCTTCCAGCCAAGTGGGAAAGAGGAGCACACAGATAGACTAGACGCCTTGGCTGCTACTGGCACAGATACTAAATGACATAGAGACAGTGCACAGTCTGTGTGGATGCTGAGCAGGCACCTGCTCCAGGTACAGGGTCAAGTGTCCAAGAGGCAAGAGCATCAAGCAGGCAAGGAGGGAAGGTAAGGGCCAGAAAATGCTCACAGCGCCTTCAACATAAGGATTGCAAAGCTCAGTCACATTAAGGGTCCAAATCTACATCTACATCGACAGTATCTGCAGACCTGGCCATTGCACTGAGATACTTAGCTTACTTTCTCATGTAGTCACAGATTTTCAGGTAACTCACTTTGAAACAGCTTGGTATTATGTCCTGAAATTAGCACAGACCTCATTCAGTTTGAGTGGCCTATAGAATCCATAGATGACAAATATGATGCCTAAAAAAAAGTAAGGGTCAGTGGCATTGTGGCTTAGCAGGCCAAGCCTGACCTGTGACACCAACATCCTGCATGGTTACCAGTTTGAGTCCCAGCTGCTTTACTTCCAATCCAGCTTCCTGCTAAGGCACCTTGGAAAATGGCAGAGGATGGCCCAAGTGCTTGGGCATCTACATCAGGGTGGAAGACCCATCAGCAGCTCTTAGGCTCCTGGTTTCCTAGCCTATCTTAGCCTTGGCCTTGTCAACATGTCTATAGCAGACATATTTCCAGCAGCCCAGGCAGGGGAAAGCAACTCTTATCCTGCGTTCTCTAAACATAGCAACCTGGCTAAATTTCTGATGCCACCAACGGCCTAGAAAACCCATGTACTGTACCCTGGCTCTGATTACCTCCTCGTCCTCCTTAAGTAAAGTCAGTCCTGAAGGCATACAGAGGTTCCGCTGCTGAAGGAAAATTATTAGTAGAAATATTGGCCAGTCGAACTTCAATTTTTCTTGCACTCACAAAACTGAAGCACTAGCTTTCTGTCTTTTTTTCTCCTTCCTTCCTGCCGCATGCATTTTTCAAATATTAGGAAAAAAAAAGTTTTGTCATCACAAAACTGCTCTGGTCTGGCTTTTAGATTTGGCTGCTGGATCCTGTCAGAGAATGGATCAGCGATAACTCTTTGTGACTTAAAAATAAAACATTTAATAGAGTAAAACAGCCAACTCCTATAGCAAGGGAAAGCCAAACATCCCAGTTGTGAACAGCTGGCAGACTAAGGAGGCCCTGGTCTTCATCAGAGGAACCTGCCATGTGAAACAGTCTTTCTGGCTGCCTCAGAGAAACAGCAGCTCCCTGCAGCTTTGTCAGTTTCGGCATCCTCATCATAGCACTCCCAACACACAGAGGCACTGGGATGGGCTGACGCCATCACTGCAGCAGAACCCCTCCTCGGGCTCAGAGCTGTGGTGGCACAGAGCAAGCCCATTCTCACAATAGGGCCTTACTTATAGACAGGTTGCTATGTTTGGAGAATGTATGATAAGAGTTGCTTTCCCCTGTCTGCGCTGCTGGAAATATGTCTATAGAGCCAGATTCTGGAAAGTTCACAGGCTGCCTGAGACCTGAGGTCCTAAGCTCTAGGAAGCCCATGTATTGGAGAGGAGGAGGACTACGTTCAATGTGGTCACGTGTCTGTGTCTGCACTCACTTGCTGGGCTTTAGACCTGAGGAGCCTTGGAGGAACTGAGAGAACCATGCCTGGCCTCAGCTCCAGAGGGGACACAGTGAGGGAAGAGAGACAGCCTGGAAAAAAAAACCAAAAAACAAATCAGAGTCAGTAGGTGGTTAGTTCAGGACCCCGCTGAGAATGGGGTGGATCAGACTGGACAATGATCCCTTCCTGTGCTTTGGCATTTACAAGGTGCCCAGAGTCACAGCTATGGAGAGTTGAACCTATTAGGGACAAACAATTACCCTGGTGTTCATCATAAAGCAAGCCCAGACACCTGGCAGGATCCTTGCCAATCAAGATCATCCTTTCCCTTTTCCCAAATGCTTCTGTCTTCATGTCTCTTGTCCCAGATCCCAGGGTCTGCAAGAGAGAAAGTTACAGATCTCTGTATGATCACGAGATTGTTAGCATCCTGCAGCAAAGCTTGTGTTCCTTTATGCAGTGTCAAAATGTGTCCAGGGAAGTTTTCCTTAATGAATTATGTAGCATCTTGTGATTCAGCAGGCCTGTGGTGCTCTATTGACAGAGCGTCAGCATGCTGTGTGGGTGCTCCTGTTTGTGTGTGAAGTCAGCTAATCAGTGAGCTAGCACGGGCACAAGAGGTCAAAGTGCAGAGGACTCTAGGCCTCGTGTATTCACTCAAAGCAGTGTAGCATATGATGGGGCTTTCAGCTCCTGTAACAGACACATGACAAAAACGAAGAGAAAATGAGCCGTGCGCCACTGGCGAGACTGACTATTAAATCGCCCACTGGGGAGGCGAGACAGAGCCTCTGTCTTTAAAGATAAGACTCCCAAGGCCATGGTGGCAGGATCCCAGGAGAACGTGCCAGAGTGGCTTCCAGGATTGGGGGAACACCAGTGGTTATTCTTAGAAATCATTTGGCTTAAATTATCTGCCAGTACATAACTTCTGGGTTTTGTTTTAGCTAAAAAGAAAAAAAATAATGTCATTTCTAAGCCTTTGGAAATGACTTTTTATATTTTTATATTGATCACATCACTTTCAAATCTATTAGCTGGCAGCTGCTGCCTGGTTACATTACCTCCACAGCAGACAGGACCCATGCTTTTTGGCAGCCCAGGTCAGCAGATTAAGAGGGGAACCTTTATGCAGGGGATATCAGCATGTTACATATTTTCTGTTGGAAGGCAAAAATAGAACATGTGATGTTTTACTGCCTCCTCCCCCGAGCCCTCACTATCTTCTGCTTCAAAAGAAAGCTTAGGAGAAAACTACATGAAGTCTAGGCACACAGGGGACTTCTTGGACTTCCCATGTCAGGGCCTGGTTGCAGCTACTCTGCCTTGGATCTAAGGAAGGAAGGAAGGAAGTTGGCCAACCACGAGCACCTGACTGAGAACCTCCTGTGGAGCGTGGCGAGTGTCAGCTGGTCCTGTGAGGTACCATTTTAACCCTCATGGCACAAGTCTGCAACATTCCATGTGGGATCCATGTCAAACTGAGGTGCAAGCTGGCTCCGAGGGGTCTGGGTCCTGTGTGCACCCTGTACAGCTTCACCAGAAAGAAGTGTGAGCGGAACATGCCAGAAAAACCTTTGGAGTTCCATAAGGTTGGAGCCCTGGGTGCCATCTGAGCCTCAGAGGTTGCTCTCAGCTGGAATTTGGTGGCCCATTCATTGGAGAAGCTCAGCTGCAGGCAGTGCCCCAGGCCCACAGTTTAGGATTTGTCTCCAGTTGTCATTAATAGTTTAATTTTCTACTGGGTGGCTGGCCCAATTAAACTATTTTTCTTCATCTCTTTGTTTTTATTTTTAATTTTTTTAAGGATTTATCTTAGAACTGTCTCTTTCTTTGTTGTTTTTGTTTTAAGATTTATTTATCTGAAAAGCAGGGATTGCAGAGAGGGAGAGAGGAAGCAGAGCTCTTCCAGCTGTTCATTCGATCTCCATTTGGCTGAAATGGCCAGAGCAGGGCCAGTGTGAAGCCAGGAGCTTCCTCCAGTTCTCCCATGTGGAAGCAGGAGCCCGAGGACTTGCATGATCTTCTTGTGCTTTGCTCAGGCACATCAGCAGGGAACTGGATCAGAAGTGAAGCAGCCAGGATATAAAACTGCTGCCAAATGGAATGTCCAGCATTTCAGGTTGCAGCTTAACTCACTACGCCACACCACCAGCTCCTTGCTCTTTATTTTGGTTAAAATGTTTCCCACAATTGGAGAATTCTGGTTTATTTTTTAAAAAATTTCTCTTTCTTATATACCTCTGAGTAATTTTTTTTCCTAGGCTTTCTGCCTCTTATAACTTTATTTAGAGACTAGCAGACTCTCCATGGAGGAAGGCAGAGTCAGCAATTCTGAGCAGCCCTTGCATTGGTTCTGCAAGTGAGGATTAAGCAAGACACACTTTTAGAACTTTTTTGCCTTACCTCAGGATAAGATTTTTCTAAAGATTTATTTATTTTTATTGGGAATGCAGATATATATATATATAGAGAGAGAGAAAAAGAGACAGAGAGGAACATCTTCTGTTTGGTGATTCACTCCCCAAGTGACCACAACAGCTGCTGCTGCACCGATTCAAAGCCAGGAGCTAGGAACTTCCTCCAGGTCTCCCACATGGGTGCAGTGTCCCAAGGTTTTGACCGATCCTCGACTGCTTTCCCAGACCACAAGCAAGAAGCTGAATGGGAAGTGGGGCTTCCAGGATTAGAACTGCCGCCCATATGGGATCCCAGTGCATATAAGGCAATGACTTTAGCTTCTTGGCTGTGGCACCGGGTCCAGGATAAGATTTTTTTAAGCAGTGAAAATCAGTAGTAAATGACATCTCCTGGACCTGCATTCTCATAGACTATATGCTATCAAATAAATTCTTGCGATGAATCTGTCATTCAGTTGTAGGTGACTATACTGAACAATTAAAAAATAAGATCTATTCAGTATCTCACAATGCTAGCTGTTTTTAGATACTCTGAATGTAGCAACCAACAATAACTAGGCCTTGAGTTTTTAGTGCTTAGATTCTTGAGAGAGTGGACAGCAAACAGATAAACCACTAAATGATTAATATATTGCTAATGAGGTATCAGTGATGTGTGGGACAATGATAGGACGCAGGTGCTATTGTAAAAGAGGGTAATTGTGGGAGGTCTCACCTGAGAATGGGCTTCTAATGAAAGACCCAGGTCTGGACATTGAGGCTATTTGGAAAGTGAACCAAATGGATGGAAGCTCTCTGTGTCTCTAACTCTGCCTAAATACATCTTGAGAATAGTCATATGTATTTGGTAGACGAGAATAAAAATAAAAGCAGAGATCAGAGTTAGCCTAAGTAATCAAGTTCTGGATTTGGATACTTCAAACTATTTCTGTTATTACCAAAATGTTGTGTAACTAGGATGCACACAGTGGTTGCTATAAGATCATATTTTGGGACTGTACTCATTGTTGCCATGGCACTGATATGGGGACATCTACAAAGCAGATTTTGAGAAGAAAAAAATGAAAACACCCACCTCGAAGGGCTTTCTTTTCAAAGCCAGCTGTTTGCTTTTCTCTGGCTTCCTTAGAAGGTTCAGTGTGCAAGAATAGAGTTCCTCTTTCATCTTGCAGATACGTCTTCTTTGATTTGATTTCATGTCCGTGTTTGAGGGTTTTCAGCAGTCATGCCACCACAGTGCACTAGACAAATTTGAACTTTGGTGTGTAGGGTAAACACGTTGTGACCCATAAAGAAGAGGTTTGACTTGTCACCATTCTTTTGAAGACCAAATTCTTTCCTCTTGCAAGGAGCCATTTTAGAGTTTGAAATATAGACTCGGTCCTGCCACTCAGCATTGCTGTAGTTGTGATGGGAACACCAAGTGCTGAAGTCTGTGCTTGGTCTCATTTTACTGCTTTCACAACTTTCCGTGTAAGAGAAGCCCTACTGATAAACGATTGAGTAAGCAAGAAAAATACTTGAGGGAAAAAAGGATTGTATAAACCTAGCTTCATTCCCTCTGAGTTTAAAATGGAGAAGAGAACATCCTTTAGCTTTTGAGAACCTTCGACATGCCTGGATTTCTAGGAAAAGCTTATGATGGTGGCTTTGGTTCTTGAATATCCCCTGAAGCAGATGTATCTGTTAGAAAAGAGCAAATACACACAGGACATGCCTTTTGCCCAGGGCCTTTTTTGCAACCCCTCAAGATTATTCCCATCTGTGTTCTGGGCTGAGCTATGTTGGAACATGTACCTCAAAGAGGTCTTGGTACAAGATCACCAGAGTTCCACTGGTTACACATCTAGAAGGTCCAGAGTCTTTTGCTCATTCTGTGAGGGGAAGCCTAAGGTAGCAAAGCCCTGCTTGTCCGAGGAATGGTCACCTGTGCGTCCACATCATGGCAGAGTCAGTCATGGCTTACAGTTGAGATTGGGAATCTCTACACATCAGTGTTTCGTGAGAAGTGTTCATTTGGAAGAATAGCAAAGCACAGAAGGAAAACATCCATCCCATTTGTGTAACAATCGCTTGGGTGTCCAGGTGTTACTCTGCGTGAAAGGGAAGGAGGAAAGAAAGTTCATGTCCAGTGAGTCAAGGAGCTGTGATGTTCGATCCTTTCTCTGCTAAATTATCCGTGACAGCACCCATGCTCTTTTTGTTTGTTTGTTTCTTCCTCCCTTTCCATACCCTTCTCTCTGCTCTCAAGTCCTCATCTACCTGCTCCTGAGCATATTTTTGTGCCTGAAAAAGCAGAGACAGCAGAAGGCATTGTACAATCACTCCGGGTACCTCTGGGACCAAGTGCTGATTGGATTTGAGAATTAGGTCACTGTGTAATGGTTGGACGGGAAACAAGATTTGAGTAGGTTGAGAATTCCAGGCAAAGATGAAGAATAAAAGGATTAACTACTTTTTTTTTTTTTACAACTCAGGTGTTTGAAAAGTGCAGAATAACTGGAAAGTTAGACAGCTTCTAAGGAGAGTTAATTTTCAAAGGCGCAAAACAAATCCAGATACAAGCCAGTGGGGATGGAGAGGTTAAAGATATAGGGAAGATTTATGTCACTGTTCGAGAGGACTACATTGTTAGTGAGAACAAGGGGATTTTTGAATATTCTTTTTAGACCAAGATGTTATCTTATATATTTCCTGTAATATATAGTAAACCAGATAAATAACAGTACAAATATGAACAGTGATTAAGCATCTTGCCTAAGCACCCATAGCTTTTAATGAATGGGACTGGGATTTGTACCCAGAGCTCTCCAGCTAGAAACGTAGTACCTTTCTGCTCATAATACGCCATCGAATTTGTATGTAGAAGTATGTTTTCGACAGTGATTTTTTTCAAATTCCAAGAAGTCCAGGAAGGCATTGGTCTTTAGTGTGAGTTTTTTCCTGAGTCACTCAAAGGCTGCTGTGCCAGTGTATTGGGGCTGCTCTTCACTGATTCATACCTAAGATTCTGGTAGTTAGTTGGGGGCTGCACTCACAGATCTGGACTAATGAATTCAGTCTGGATGTTTTGCACAGGATGGCAGTTCAGTTTAACTCTGGGTTGTGTTAGCAGCTGCTTACTTAATTTTTCTCGCGGAGTTATTATAATACACTTGTGCCATGTACAGAGAAATCATTCTGCTTATAATTCTAGAATTGTATAGAGAGCCTGTTAAATTTGGAGGTGAATGGTGTGGCATTGGGAAAAGCCGTGGGAAAAAAAATATTCAGTATTGGATGCTTTTTATAATTTAATTGCTGCCTGTTCCCAGCCTGAATTAAACTCTGGAAGGCATTTTCTTTCTAAAGTCACAAAAATGCATTTAGATATGCAGCAAATAACATGCAGCTCTGGGCTTTTCTCAGCTAAACACAATAAAAAGAATCTGCTGAAATGTTATTGTCTGTTGATAAATACTTTGCGCATAATTGCAGCCAGTTCTAATTAGATTTATTTTAAACTCGGTTTCTGTGAATTGTTCTGACAGTAAACAATAAAATAAGATGATTATTCTAATACAGAAAACATAAAAGCACCAAAACATCTTATTACTACCTTTTGTGTGTTTAAGAGCCTTGACTGAAGCATATGTCTTGTTTTGGGTCGTTAGGGTACCCTTGAAACATAGCAGAAATGCTATGCAGGCCAGGAATAGCAGTTGCCACACGGACAGCATAGCGTACAATATGTTAAGATTGGTTAAGTTTTGACGTTTTCAGAAGTAAAGCACAAACAGTAAACACAAATAGCATCCATGAAGATTATGGCGTGTAGATTCTCCCACCATGCTTCCATCCCCTTCATACCATTACTTCATACCAGGCTCCATCCGAAACAGGAAGTGCTTTGCTATCTATCTCAGTGGCATTTTGCTCTGAAACTTGAAATGTGAGCTTTCAGCCTGGTGCACCACTTCCCCCTCTTTCTGAAGGGGAAGGCACATACAGGAGCCTTAGCAGCAGGTCATTTCATGAAAGTCAACACCGTAGGTCTAAGTTCTATTCTGAACAGCAGCAGCCAAGAGACTTGTTGGAACTCAATAAATGATCATATCTGGTGAATGCTTATTGAAAGGTGAGTAGTCCAGGTTTCTACCTTTTTATTCTGTCCATTAAAGAAGTCCTTGACAAGCACTTTCATCATCCTAGAAATATCCATTTGGTATCTCAGAGTGAGACTGCATGGTCTTTCTGGAAGCCCCACTCTGAACAGTGACTATGTGCTTACTGTGATAAAGTTTGGTTTGGGAGTGAGGAAGCAGTTTTAGGAAATCTGATGTTAGATAGTGTCAGGTGTTGCAGACTGCCTGTTCAAACACTCAAGTCTCTGAGAAAGTTGTCCTGGTATTAAATGTCCATGGATAGATGTCCATTGATTAAATGGACATCCATAGACTAAATGACATAGAAAAATGATTTACAAATAAATTGCTACCCTTCTTTACAAGGATCTAAAATCTCTCCAGTCATATTTCATGAATACAGTCTCAGCATCAGTCGTTCCTTATGAAATGTAACTTTTAAGAATAAAATGGAATTCTCAGTAGCCTGTCCTTGGGTAAGCCCACTGAAGAGTACTGAGTTGGTCACCAGTGGAAATGCTCAAGTTTTGTTTAGCTGGAAGAATTACTGAGATTCTCCAGCAGGCAATTCTCACTTTCCCAGCCAGGGGGATCAGATTTTATAATAAATTTTAATGGTGACTAAAGTCAGTGCTGACTTGGAAAGCTCTTTATCAAGCTTAATGACAGCCTTTCCCTTAAGGAGTGTGTGTAGCAAACACTCCGTAAGTGTCAGCGGTGTGGTTTACATTCTTATTTCAGCAGGAATGAATGCTGACTGAATACAAGTGTTGTTCATTGTGGTTATTTTTCTCCAACAGGTTCTTAGCATGATCATCAATGCAGCCTATAAGCCTGGAAGGGTTTTAAGAGAGTTACAGCTGGTGGAAGATCCACATTGGAATTTCCAGGAGGAGACCCTGAAGGCAAAGTAAGTGTTTTCAGTTCTGGGAATCAGGGTTTTTATCACATTCTTCAGCTACTGTTTTAAAGCTTGGCATGCCTCTGTTCTGATGTGGTGCAGAACAAAGTGGAAGCAAACTGGAAGACAAGTATTCTGCAGTTCGAACATTCCACAGGATTGCTTCAAAAAGTCTGTGAGAAGGGGTAATTAAGAGATAAACTTATAATGGTCCATGCAGTGGCATTATGACCATTGGATTAAGCCATTCGTTGGGTGCCCAAGTCTGATACTAGAGTACCTAAAGTCAAGTCCTGCCTCAGCTCGTGATCCAGTTTCCTGCTAGTGCTCATCTGGGGAAGCAGATCTGGTGACTTAACTACTTGGGTCTCTGCCACCCAGGGGGTTGATCCAGATGGAGTTCCTGGTTCCTGGCTTATGCCTGGCCCAGCTCCATTGGTCTGCTGGAGTTATTTGGGGAGTGAACTAATGTATGAAAGATCTTTCTATCATCATTCCTTTCAAAAACAATAAAAATCAATATAAAGAAACTTTTAAAAAGAGAAAAACTCATGCCTAACTTGACAGTACAAGGAAGAAAAGAAGTGACTTAAAGAAACAACTTTTAAAAGCACAATGGGGGCCCGGCGCCATGGCGCAGTGGTTAAGGTCCTCGCCTTGCACACCCGGGATCCCATATGGGTGCCAATTCTAATCCCAGAAGCCCCGCTTCCCATCCAGCTCCCTGCCTGTGGCCCAGGAAAGCAGTCGAGGATGGCCCAAAGCTTTGGGACCCTGAACCCGTGTGGGAGACCTGGAAGAAGCTCCTGGCTCCGGATCCGCGTAGCATCGGCTGTTGCGCTCACTTGGGGAGTGACTCATCAGACGGAAGATCTTCCTCTCTGTCTCTCTCTGTACATCTGCCTTTCAATAAAAATGAAATTTTTTTTTTTTTTAAAAAAAAGCATAATGGTACAAAAAGGATATCTGTGTAAATTTTTCCTGATATTTTCATGATGTTTTTACAAACATCTCATTTACATGAGATTTCAAAAATCTTTTGTACAAAAATAACCTTCTGATTCCATTTTCCACACATTTTTTGAAGTACCTCCTGGAGTTATATTAACTCTTATATTTCTAAAATCAAGTCGTAGTTCACTTCATACATTATTATATTAAACATTCAGAGTGAAAACTTACTGTCTTTTAAAGATAATAGATTCAAATAATACATAAATAGATGGTAAAAAATTATAAGGAAATGATATCTTTACCACTGTTAAACTATATCCACGCTGCACTGTTAATTTTTGATGTTATGAAGAATTTGTGCCAAATACAAAGATTTCCTAGTTTTTAAAACCTGTGTAATCTGAGGTAAACTAAGCAGCCAGAACTCTGGATTGATGTGTACTTTGGAACTTTTCTCTTTTACTCTTTTACAGTCTCATCAGAAAAGTTGACATATTGCCTTGCATTAAGTCTCTGGACCTCTGTAATTGAAAGCAGGAATTGCATTAGTGTGCTTGAACCTGGTTGTTTAGGAAGTGCATAGAAAAAAAGATATTTCTCAAGCTAATTTTCTGTTTAATAGTTGGTGTTCTGGGAAAGCTTTTGATAACATTTGTAGTTTTCAAATAGAGATTATATTGGTTGAATTCTTTTATGACATGCCTTAAAATATCATTGAGATGTAATGCCTTAGAAAGAATGCTGTTTTTAAAAGAGTGAACTACTTCTTACTGGCTACAGTATATCTAAATTCCTCTTTAAAGCAGGTACCCTTCCCACTAGTTGTGAAAACTGAGGAATATTAAATTAATTGTGTATGACCAGTAGTATTTTCCTCTACAGTTAACTCATCTGAGACTGAGTGAATATTTCATGCTTCTTCTCAAACTTCACTGTATTTTTTAAAGTGATTTGTTCACTGGAGCCAGTGCTGTGGTACAGCAAACTAAGCTGTCACCTGCAGTGCCAACATCCCAGTTCAAGTCCTCACTGCATCACTTCTGATCCACCTCACCTTGCTAATGCTTCTAGGAAAGCAGCAGAAGATGGCCCAAGTGCTTGGTCCCTGCCACCCACATGGGAAGCCCATCTTAGGCTCCTGGCTCTGGGTTTTGACCAGGCCCAACCCCAACTGTTACAGACATTTGGGGAACTAACCAATAGATGAAAGATGTGTGTGTGTGTGTGTGTGTGTGTGTGTGTGTGTGTCCCTCTCTATTTGGAAGGCAGAGAAACAGAGGGAAAGAGGGGGAAAAGAAGAGAGAGAGAGATCTTTTGGTCTACTTGTTCACTCACCAAATGTGCTCAGTAGCAGAAGCTGGGCTAGGCTGAAACTAGGAGCCAGGAACTCCATCCAAGTTTTCCACATGGATGACAGGAACTCAAATACCTAAGCTATTATCAGCAGTCTCCCAGGTGCATGAGCCAGAAACTTTACCAGAAGTGAAGGCTGGACCCAGTCCCGTGGACTCTGACCTGGAATGAGAGGCTGGCCTGAGTCCCATGCACTATGACCTGAGATGAGAGGCTGGCCTGAGTCCCATACACTCTGACCTGGGATGGAATGGGGTATTCCAAGCAGTGGGTACTCTGCTGCATCAAGCACCCACCCCTTTTGTGTGTTTTGGAACTCTGTAAAAGTTGCTTGCATTCTAATCATGTCCTGCCAAACCACAAAAGTAAACAAATGTATGTAAGAAAAGAGAAAGTCTGTTAGTATACAGTGATGTGCCATTGGAAAGCAACTCTGGGTTTCATCTTGTCCTTCTTTCCCAGGAAATCTTGAAGTGAACTTCATCTGTAACGCAGAAGTTTTCTCTGATCTAATATTCCATGTTTTGCTACAGTCAGTGGAGATCAGAAAAAAGAGTGGATGGAACATTTTCTTATAATATCCCTGTTAGCAGTGAAAACAGAAAATGTGTGTGTGTAGAGGGAATTGTTCTTGTTTAAAGCTATTTCTTTACCAACTTATACAATCCAAATATGCCTCATGGATGTGGAAATAATGAAAGTACAAAATGTACTTCTTTTAAAATCTTGTCTACTCCTAAATCAGCCAGAAATTCGCTCCCAATACCAACTCAACAAGGAGAGTTCTTTCGGCAAGTGTTTGCACTCATTTTCTTGTTATGAAGTCTATCTATGCTTCTATTAAATCCTGCCTGATGCAGTCAAAACAGACACAGTGAAATCTAACCTTGCGGAATTGTAAAGGCAATGCATTGCCTTTTATGTCAGATATTATGTCAAAGATGGCAATCAATTCCATGGCAAAACCTTACACAGCAACTTTTAATGAGAGGATGTCTATGTGATTTGGGTTTCAGCCGTGCCAGATCATAGCAGTGTCTTAGAGCAAGTGCTAATGAGACAGCTCTACAATCAGCAGAGGCTTTCTCTTAGAGCACCCTGTGTTGAGTCACCTGTCCTTCTAATGCAGAATGACAATGGTTAAGATTTGACAACTTTGCTCTTTGATACAAATGGGAAGAGAAAGAGCTGCCTTCTTCCCTTTGAGCTGAAATGCAACAGTGTTTTCTGACATGAATACATTAGCTTAGCAGAGAGAAGACCTACATGGAAGGCATTCAGTTGTCTTGATTGGTTATGAGAGTTGGATTCAGCTACAGTGAATGTTCTCAGAAGAGGGTGTGGAGCTGTCTGTGAGGTGGTTTTAACCTGCTGTCACTTAACCCCTGGAATTTCTGTTTGAGTTTTTCCCAGATCCAAAGAATAAAGACCCATCTTCTTGACAGGATGAAGTACCTATGAAAAAGGCTTGACTTGTAAATATAATGAAAGCTAACTCTGTCATCTACAGCTGTCCGTTAGTAATTTTTTTTGCTATTATTGCAACAGAAACACATTTTATACTATTTTTAAAAGCTGCATCAATTTGAAAAGTATGTTATTTTTTCACTTTATTGGGGAGACAGAAAGTTGGATATAGTGACAGGCAGACAAGTGGAGATTGATTCTTCAATTGCTGGTTCACTTCCCACTTAAAACAGCCAGGGCTGGGCCAGATTGAGGCCACAAGTCTCCAGTGTGTGTGCCAGGGACCCAAACGTTTGAGCCATCACCTACTGCCTCCCAGGTGTGCATTAGTGGGAGCTGTATCAAAATCAGAAGAGCTAAAACTTAACAAGGCACTTCCATATGGGACTCAGCCATCTCGTTTGTATCTTTGCCACTGTGCATAGGCGATATTAGAGCATAGGATTATTTAACATCTATCATGTTATCAGTCCTAAATATACATTGAAAAGCAAAAATGTACTAGCTATAGTGCCAAAGAAAAAATGGATTCAGCTGTTCTGAAAGGAAAAATATCTTTCTTTATGAGGAATGTAAATATGTATATTGAATTAGCCAAACGTATTTCAGAATTCAGGAAGACTAATTTAAGTCATTACCTTCCAGAGATTATTAAGAGAAAAGAAAAGAACCTCTAATTTTGGGTATCCAGGGACATTTAAATGCTTTTCCACACGTTATAGAATTTTCTGGAGGAAAATAAAATACTAGGTTAAATCTTCTTTGAGTGATTTTTTTATAATGTTTGTAAAAGCAAGGTAGAGACTTAATGGCTTTCCAGTCTTTTATTAAAGAATATTTAAGGTGGAAATGTCCTGGAATAATTTTATGTAAATTAGACTTCATTGCAATTTATTCAGAAACAAGGAGATAAAATCAAGTTTACTTTTAAATGAATTGTGCACAGCTCTTTGGAAATCTTTTGGTTTTTTCTTTTTTTTTTTCTTTTCATAAACAGTGGCTAATTTGTAAGTGTTTTTACACATTGGATATTATCTTTTTACTCAATCCCGTGTTTCATGAACAGTATAGAGTAGCTATCAAATGACTTCTGTTAAAAGGATTCCAAAACCCAGAGACTTTTCACTAAAAAGGGTTTTGTCTGTTCATTTGTTACTATTTGTTTACCTTGCTCTCATGTGTGCAGTTGGTTCTCCGGAAAACGAATGCATTGAACTCTGCATTAAGCCAGCAGA